AACAAAAAACTGTGGATTGCATGCCTAAACAAAATCGAGACTCGTCACTAAAGACAATACTGTTCCATTCCTGATCCCACAGTGACCGTTGTCTGCACCACTCAAGGCGATTACGTGGGTGTTCTCGAGTTAAAGGGAGGACCCAGTGTGACCGGTATGAAAACAAGCCAAAACTTCTCATTCGTCGGTAAACACTTCGCATGCCAATAGGTCTTCCCTGTTCTGTAAACCACTCATTTGCAATGGACCTGGTAGTGGAGAAACGGTCCCTCAAGGCCAATAATCTTAGGCGGCGATCTTCACGGTCTGTTGTTCTACGGCGGCGTCCAGTGCCCCTTGCTCTTTGCGTACGGCCTTCTCGAAGCCATGCCTGACAACACCTAACCACAGTGTCTACACTTCTTTGGACTCTAACTGCAATTGCCCGAAAAGAAAGTCCAGCTTCCCGAAGTCCCACTATACGGCCCCTATCAAACTCACTAAGTTGACGAAATCGTACAGGTCTCCGTACTCTAAGCATCGTAACCGATCGTAAAGGATGTCAAGAACCAAAATCCGCCACCGTTGATTCTTTACTGCATTTTTAGAGCGTTAGTGAATTAAAAAAAAGCAGTACAAAAACGGAATGTCCAACTGATAAGGCTGAAAATTTTTTCACTTGTTATTTACAGTAAGATAAATACATTCACCAACTTTTATTAAAATAAAACCATTTAAACTGGGTGTTCGGATTTATATGCCACTTAGTATAATTTCACAATATTCATGGCAAGCTATCACTTCAGCAACTGATGATTTGGACAGGTCTGGTAACAACGTATGAAGTGAAACTCGCTAAGTTCACAAATTTGAAGATTTTGTACAATTTCTTTGAAAATGATGAAAAATATGTCTGATTTGGCAGGGTAATGTCGCAGCCAAATGGCAGTCACTTTTTCTGACACAGTCCGGATCGAAAGATGACGATTCTCGTGAAATGCATTGATACTTCTAAATATAGGATCGTATCAAACATCCCTACTGTCAAGATGTATAACCCAAGGTACCGACGGAGCTATTTTGCGGCGTGATGGAAATAATTTTAAATTTTCATTTGCATTTTTTCAAGTGTGGTGCAATGATTTTGGGAAAAATGTCACGAATGGTCTTATAAAGCATAGTGGAGTATATTTCAACAGTTGGCGGAACTTACTCCACTGGGACCAGGAGGGTGAAACGGGATATTAATCTATAACCTGGCAGCCCCGTCGCACCCTCACAAAATGGCCGCTGACAAGCACACAAGTCACCGTGTTGTCATTGAATAACATGGAATTAAACCTTCAGAGTATATGTTTTGTGACTGGTTCCAAGAGTTGACAGATCCCACACATGTGTCACTCCTTGAAATGCAATAATCAGCTGTATTCAGATAATGTCTAATATAAATATAACCTAGAATGTGCACTCGTGAAAAAAGAAAAATATGGCAAATTTGTAGTTTTTTTGCAGGTTTTAGGTTTGCTGGTAGCTTTAAGGCATATATTGGGAATGTCTTAATCGCCGTGAATATAGTGTGGATGTTTGTTCAGTTCCTGAACAACGAAAAATATTCAACTTTATGCATGTATGGATATCAAAAAACCTGAATGGTTTTGTGGGAATATCAATCTAAGGTGCCATAATGGTTCTGATGAACGGCAAGTAAATGAATGAATGTTTGGAAACGAGCAGTATCTTTTGGTAGAGCCTGTCATCAAGTAGGTGCTTAATGGCTATCTGGCAAGGGGTTTATAGGTGGAGAATAACGGACTGTTGTTGGTGGAATTTGCCCTTTTGTAAGTCGTTACGGGTGCCTAAGGTTTCAGGACTGATGGATACCGTGAAGCGGGATACAGCCAAGAAGGCGTGAATTGCATCGGAACCTAGTATGTTAAGGTTGTAAGCAATTTCAGGGCAAATATCCCAATACCAATCTAAATTTGACTGGACTATTGTATCGGAATCACATTTATATCGCATCCTATAGACACCATTAAATAAACTGAGCAGGAATGCCGTTGAGAATAGATGGCAGACGATCACGAATGCCATGAAAGAATTCCTAGTGTCTCATTGGAATTAAAATAATGTCAGCGTAAAATAAATTGCTCCCATTCAAAGCTCATTCAAGGTATAATTCCTAAATATAAACCTTTCAGGTTATTTTCAAAACGTCTGTAACGTGGTTCACTCAGTATCGTAGATACCTTGCTTAGTTTGTTGTATGTAAAAGTTCATCTTCGTTATAATTAAGTTTGGTAGCTGCTGATGGGATGAACTCCGCCCTAAAACAAGACGATGACGTGCCCTTCTGGTACAATATAGGAACTAATTAACTCTTTCCGTAATGTTACTGCAAATGGAGCACTCAGGTAAAATGTAACATAACTAAGGTAAACACCATATCAGCTGCAACTTTAGGGCAAGGTCGAAGGAGAGACGCAAGGTTTGTCTGTGTTCTTGAAGCTCTTACCAACAAAGATACCGAAAAAAGTCTACAGAGGAGAGATTCTTATAATTTGTATTTCCGCGCAGTATGTCATAACCTAGAGGGTAGTAGTTCTATGTCCTGGCACAACAGAGATACAAAAATATCAGTTAAAGTTGCTGCATAACCTTTTTTCAGAATGAAACTGTACTTGCACTTAACTCAATTTCGTTACTTTAAGAACTGCAGAATTTAGTGGAATTAAAATAAATCCACTTTGTATCAATAGTACCCAAAACACATGCAAAGACAATACAGGGTATCCTCCTTTACCGCACAGTGGTTTAGAGGACATTATTTCCGCGAAAGTAGTAAGCAAGTATAAATATTATATTTCTCTTTACTTTTTCTGCTAAAATATTTTTTTAAACTCAAAATTACCTATTTTTTCTTTCATTATTTCACCTCTCATTTATTTAACTTCAAAACAAAATAGTGTTTTTTATCAATTTTCATCATAAATTTTGTTAAAATATAGGCCTGCCGTGTGACGTAACTGTAATCACAGAAGGCTCTGACCTATTAAGTTCAATATAGTTGATGTGAAAGGAAAGTTGAAAGTCGCTTTGTGCTGTCGTGGTATATTTTTTCAGAAGTTTGATAAGAAAGTGCAGGTATTTCCATGATTTAAAAACAATATTAAAATGTGCGTTTGAGACTTCTCAATACATAAAGAAAAAACTAGCTGCAAATATTTGCAACTTTTGTAAACGAATTTTAAGAGTTTAGTGTGCGGTAGAAATGAATCAAAATGAAAAATATCGACTTAATAACGAGTGGTATTTGAACAGAACCAAAACCAGAGTTCAACAATTAAAACACAAACAAATTTAATGTACAGCTATTTTTACTAAATTTGATTCAAATCTTTATTATAGGAAAAAAAACTGTTCATTTTGACGGGATCTGTTCCAGGCTCAGTGTTTGTAAAATTCTGAGCAGCATTTTGATTTAGGGTCTTCACAACCTGCATTGAGGCAGAAATTTGCGAATTTCTCGAAAGCTGCTCACCGTACCCTACTATGTTTTGTCTGTAACTTACAGAAATCTGACCACATATCTAATAGTTTCAGGCGTTTACAATGGCTTTATATCAATTAATTCTATGTTCAGATATTTTTACCTAACAACATTGAATCGTGTATTATATTCTATGAATCCTGTATATTTAGTAGAAAAGCTGGTCCCTAGGTCAAGTATACATAATGTCAATATAAGACATCAAAACCATTTTACAATACCTATATATGTGACATCACTCTTTTATGGATATTTCACGTATAATGCAGTGTCTCACTTTAACATCTATAGCAGGAATATTGATATATCAAATACTAAGAACATCCGTTTCAAACTGCATCTCAGACAACACCTTCTAGGAACTCAGCATAGGATCAATGAATAAATGTCCTGTGATCAATTACCATTATGTTCTTTTAGTTACATTCATAGCCATACAGTCGCTTACTGTATATGTAAAATACCATATTTGTTTGTCAAATTAGCATTAAGCTTTAGTCTTTTAGAATGGTGGAGTGTAGGAATAGCTGTGCTGAACTCCGTCAATAAATCCGTTTATTATTATCATTATTTCCCGAGAAATCCAGGAATTTAATCTGGACCAGCTGAATTATTACTCTTGAGTTTATCTTTTAACAGGTTTAGAAAAATGTCTTCGTTGAACGGATATAGAAACATTTCGTTGGCTGTATCACGCAATTTTTCAAAGTTGCACTGAGGTCTGAGGTACTATTGTTTTAACAAGATGCGGTGTTATATTTCTGAAGTACGAACTGAAATGATTTGCCATATCTAGTGGATCAGCTACAACAGCTCCATCTACCTTTAACAAGTATTGATGTTTCTTTTTTATTTTTGAGTTATTTTAACAACTACGTTCCAAGTTGCCTGACTGAGGTTTCCCGATTGTAAAATTTCGTTTTGACAGTAAGTTCTTTTGACTGCAGCCATCAGATCTCGATGCAACTTCTTGGCTCGAAGCCTTTTGGGAATATTTTTGCTGAGCCAAATATGAACTAATATCTTGCGAGTTTTGTGCTTCTATACTTAGTGTACATAGTGTACATACATGTTGAGCGTCCCTTACTAGTATGAAACGGTGTTTGAATTTTTAGCTTTATTGATCAACTGACTGCAGAACCTGCTACAATAATGTGTTCCACGATTTCTGATACACTCATTGACACACCTGGGCACCGTGCTCGATATCCTGTTGGGGTATCTCATTCCAGACTACTGCTGGTTTGTTCGTACAGCCTGTTTGCTGACAATCAGCAAACTGGTAGTCGGCGACAAGTCATGACCTACTTTATTAAGTTTTGCATAGAGAAACATAGTGGGCCGCGCGGATCGAACGTCAGTACTGAATATTAACCTCACTCTTTAGTCAACTGCAATTCAAAGTTTGACAACAACACGTGCAGTGTTCTCACTAGAGTGAATTTTTAAGTGTCACCAAGTCATTAGAAAAATGGGACCCAACCGAGAACATTTTCGCGCCATAATTTATTACAACTTTCAGAGACAATTATCTCAACAAGAATGCCTTGCTGAGTTACTATCTGTTTTCGGCAACGAAGCGCCACATCAGTCGACAACTTTTCGTTGGTATGGAGAATTCAAACGTGGACAGTTGAGTCTTGGCGACGGTCCCAGGGTGGGTGCACCAAAAACGACAGTCACCCAGGAAAACGTCCATGCTGTGCGCAAACACATCATTGAAGATAGACATGTGACATATCGCGAGATTGAGGCGTGCTTGAAGATCTCAAAGACATCAATTCAGAAAATTTCACATGAAGAATTAGGAGTAAGAAAATTAGTTTCTCGTTGGAACTGTTACTGTGGATTGGTATACCACCAGTTGTTTGCCAAAGGTCATCACCGAGCTTCGAAAAATCAACCCCGAAAGAAGAATCATCCTCCACCAACACAATGCAAGCTCGCACACAGCCCAAAAAACAAGGCAGTATTTAACGGAAGAAAACGTGGAATTATTGGACCATCCTCCATATAGTCCCGATCTAAGTCCTAGCGATTTCTTTACCTTCCCGAAAATTAAAAACATACTGCGTGGTCAAAGATTCCAGTTACCAGAAGAAGCAGTTGACGCATTAAAAAATGCCGTTTTGGATCTGCCAACAAACGATTGGAATAAGTGCTTCGAAAATTGGTTCAAGCGCATGCAGATGTGTATTAATCTTCGTGGAGAATATTTCCAAAAACAATAAAGTCATTGAAAACTACCTATCGTGTTGTTTTATTTCCATATGCAAAACTTTGTATAGATTGCGTACATGGAAACGTTACTAGTTGGCTGACGAAGCTTTGACCTATTACTGACAACTGATCCAGTGTTTGTACAGAAACATCTGAGTGTTTGATGACTGTCAGCAGATTCTGGTCTAGTAAATGGTCATAGCTCGTTATCAAGTACAACCATTATTGGAATCTAACATTTTTCAACATGAGATAGACAATTTTGCAAATGTTCGTTTATTTTCATTCTCTGTAAACCAGAATATTCTAGTTTTGTCCGGAAGTGCCTGAATTTTCCTCTAGAGGAAATAACAAGAAACACTTCCTAGAAAAAATTAGATTAGAAATAGATTTACTCAGTAATCTCCATTCAATTCTCATTTAAAAAGAATGGACATAAATTTGCAGAAATGTGTTTCCACCCATCGAATGACAAGTTGAGGAAGCATAAAGTAACAATTCTGAATGAACGTCTGCGATGATTATGAGTAAGAGCTGCTAAAATCTGTGGAGAGTGTTGCGCAATCAAGATCCTGCGACCTACCATGTCCCAGACATGTTAAATGGCAATATTCGGTCTGGCATTGCTTGCTGAAAAGTTGGATTTTGGATGGTGCTTAGGTATGGGATACCGCCTCTGATGAAAATTAGTAGTGATCTGCTACCATAAGCAATAGCACCTCATACCATAACTCCCACGGTCTGGTGAACGTGACGCTCGCTGTGAAATTGTGGGTCACGACCTCTTGATTCCATTCCTTGTCCCGTAGAATGCTTTCTCTACACCAGAGCAAACGGTTAGGTCGATGTTCAGCTGTGAGAGATAGCATCCAATGTGAGCGATAAAAAAAAGCCAAACAGTCGTATTCGGCCATATACCGTACGCATACCAACCATCCTTCCATGCAATGAATCTGTCTCTCAGAAATTCTACGTGCTCTAGGCATTTTGAGCAATCACATAAAAGGCTTCAGTTAAGCTAAACGAAATTTAACACTTAGTTGACACCGTCAATGCACGAAAACTAAATGCTTCTTTATCACCAAACAATACACGCAGGCACCACAAAAACTTAACACACAAACCTGCCCATTTTATTACTTGTTGTTCATGGCAAGATAAATCGATATATATAAGATTCTAGAATTCTAATAAACGTACGTAGGTGTTTACTTTTTTTTCACTCGGTATATCTTGCGATATTTCAACTAGCATCCTACTACTTGTCGTTGCTTCTTAAGGCGGTCCGAAGGACCTTAGCCTTTAGGTCATAGTCACTGTAATGTCAGCTCTGGTGGCCCAAAAATCAAACAAGTTGTAGGGGAAAGGGGAAAGGGAGAAAGAAAGGAAGGAAGAACATCAACCGAGAAAACCGTTTCATCGTAAAACACCCTACAGCATGGCGATTATCGGCGCGTAAGCCACAGGGCAAACTTCAGATTTCACGATTCTTGTTCGCCTCAAGGTTCCTTCCCATTTTGTCACAGTACAATTTTGACTGAAAGCACCTACCTCTTTCGACCCGATTCCCTTAAAAATAGTCCAAATAGTCCAATCTCTACACCGACTGTCAGTAGCACAACCCACCCACTTTGCACCTAAGCCGGAATCAAGCAGCGCCTGATCGAGTTATACAACAACCTTAGGATCGCGTCAACGGACGGGCGAAACTTGGCATCAACGCGTCGTGCGATGTCGAGCGTCGCGGCGCGTCGCGGTGCTTGGAACGTACTGTGGGAACCGGCGGCGTCCCGACGGCCGGCGTGCAGTGACGCCCCTTTCGCGAAACGACCGGCGCCGAGCGGCGAAGCGTCGCTCCGCGCGGCGGCGTCAGGCGTCAAGCGTCAAGCGTCATCCGCTGCTCTACGGACGACGGATCGGACGGGTCAGTCGATGGGAAAATTAAAAATAAGGCTACGATGTAGCGTGGGATAGGTCGCAGCACAGGTGGGATGTGATAGAGGAAAGGCATTCACCCTTTTTCGACACGAGGCTTCCTTTCAGACTTTGAGAATTGAAGGATTCCACTGGTAAACGAAATTAAATATTTGTTTGTGATATGGACAAAACAAGGTGGTTATCATGTAAAACGTACCCAAAATGCCGGAAATAGCATTCGATTTTTTCTATCACCCACGGTCTTCTTGTAATAAGGCATTTTATTTGCTGCTTATACTCGTAAAATAATTATAAGGATATGTGTCGAAGAGCACTAATAAACACTCGAATAAACATTAATCTCAGAATGTTGTTGTCGATGTTTTATGGCGATATGTGGCTCCTGAAGTATCTCTTAACAATGTTCAGCAATAATCAGCAAGCAACTTGACACTCCATTTGCCTTGATATTGTTGTTCCATAGCAGACATGTCTCGAATCATTCATCATGTTCATCACTTACCGCACCTAAATTTTCCGGAAAAAAATCGAGATGAGAATCCAAAAAGTGAATTTTTAGAGACATGTTACATCCCGTTCCTTTATAAGCATTAATTAGTTCATTCACAATATCTTTATAATTGCCCGTCTGCACGTTGCCTAAAAAATTTGCAGTGACTGATTTAAAGGCATTCCAGGCTCGTAATTCAGTTTGATTTAGAGCACTGTCAAATACATCATCCTTCAGGATTTTCCGTATTTGTGAACTCACAAAATATGCCCTCTTTAATGTTTGCCACACTTAGGGCCAATTTCACCAACAACAGTCCGTTATTCTCCACCTATAGGGTAATACCCCGTCAAATACAGCGAATGAGCTTCAAGTTCCAATCAACAAATTTTAGCAACCAATAGCTATGACATGTTGAAAACAAGATACTGTCAAAGAATGAGATGACATCTTGTCATTGAAACATCATCAGCTTATTGAATATTAAGAAATTACATATATTTCGGTCAAAATTTAAACAACGGCTTGATTTTTGACTAAAATTCATGATTCAATTACTATTGTTGATTTTTCATTCATGTTTATATTATTTTCTTCAATTGATATGCGATTTTACTGATTCAAGATCATCTACTGGGTGTTTTTTCCTATAAACCTCATGCAGGTAGCCATTAAGCACCTACGTGATGACTGGCTCTACCAAAAAGTTCATAGATATTGCTCGTTTCCAAACATTCATTCATTTACTTCCCGTTCATCAGAACCATTATGGCACCTTAGATTAATATTCCCACAAAACCATTCTGGTTTTTTAATATCCATACATCCATAAAGTTGAATATTTTTCGTTGTTCAGGAACTTAACAAGCATCCACACTATATTCACAACGATTAATAAATACCCAAATATATACTAAGTGACATATAAATCCGAACACCCAGTTTAAATGGTTTTATTTTAATGAAAGTTGATGAATGTATTTACCTTACTGTAAATAACAAGTGAAAAAATTTTCAGCCTTATCAGTTGGACATTCCGGTTTTTATACTGTTTTTTTAATTCACTAATGCTCTAAAAATGAATATTTCAGGCGCAGTAAAGAATCAACGTTGGCGGATTTTGGTTCTTGACATCCTTTCCGATCGGTTACGATGCCTAGAGTACGGAGACCTTTACGATTTCGTCAACTTAGTGAGTTTGATAGGGGCCGTATAGTGGGACTTCGGGAAGCTGGACATTCTTTTCGGGCAATTGCAGTTAGAGTGCAAAGAAGTGTAGACACTGTGGTTAGATGTTGTCAGGCATGGCTTCGAGAAGGCCGTACGCAAAGAGCAAGGGGCACTGGACGCCGCCGTAGAACAACAGACCGTGAAGATCGCCGCCTAAGATTATTGGCCTTAAGGGACCGTTTCTCCACTACCAGGTCCATTGCAAATGAATGTTTTGCAGAACACGGAAGACCTATTGGCATGCGAAGTGTTTACTGACGAATGAGAAGTTTTGGCTTGTTTTCATACCTGCCACACTGGGTCCTCCCTTTAACTCGAGAACACCGACGTAATCGCCTTGAGTGGTGCAGACAACGGTCACTCTGGGATCAGGAATGGAACAGTATTGTCTTTAGTGACGAGTCTCGATTTTGTTTAGTCATGCACGATGGTCGTGCCAGGGTTAGAAGGCGACGTGATGAAAGGAGGAATCCACAGTTTTTTGTTAAAAGACATGTTCATCACACTGTTGGAGTTATGGTTTGGGGTGCTATAGCTTATGGTTCCAGGTCACCTTTAATCTTCATCAGAGGTAACATGAACGCGCAGCGTTATATCCAGGAAGTTCTAGAATCCCATCTTTTACCCTATCTTGACACCCTGGCAGATACAACTTTCCAACAAGATAATGCCCTACCACATGTTGCAAGAGTCACAATAGACTTCTTTCAACATAATGATGTCACATTGTTACCATGGCCACCAAGATCTCCCGACTTATCCCGAATTGAGGACGTGTGGGATATGATGGGTAGGAGATTGCTCAATTTGCAACGTCCTCCTCAGACTCTAGAAGCACTTCGAGAGGAGTTGGTGGTTGCCTGGAATGAGATACCACAGGAGGACATTGACCACCTGATCAGAAGCATGCCTAAGCGCGTTGGAGAATGCGTAGCACATCAGGGTGCATCAACACATTATTAAAGGTCAAAGGGCTTTAAAGCAGTGCAATCATTTTGAAATGTTTATCATTTACTTATTATGCTTCATTAAGTACTTATACAAAATTTTATTAAAATAAAACCATTTAAACTGGGTGTTCGGATTTATATGTCACTTAGTATACGAGTTGATGTTACAGATTCAAGACGGTCTCCGAACAATAAAGCCACATGATCGGGGTCAGATACAATACTGCCATCGATAGCTATAGTAATATTTTTGTATCTAATTTGCTTTTGCTAGATCCAAGCACACACAGGGTACTTTGGTCGGGTAATTTGTATAACTTTGATGTCAAAAAAGGAATTTCGCCTTGAGTGGACTGGTGTTTCTGTAATCCAAATTGTTTTTCTTTAATCAGATTATGTTTATCCAAAAAGTATAGAAGTGTTTTTATAATGTTCTCAATAATTTTTGCTGGATATTACAGTTATAGGAATCTAATTGTTAGCATCTGTTTTTTCACCGAGATCTCTTTAGAACCCGTTTGTAATCGAGAAACGCCACTATGTCACCTCAAAGGTCTCTCCCTATTATGAACGTCAGTATTCGTGCAAAGTCTACTTACACGCACTGTTTTTCATTTTATGGTTGAGCAGCATTTCGCTAGGATGATGAAATTAATTTTGCACACAAACGGTGGCCGTGAGGTAATTTGGTTAACCCTGCTATTAAGCCATGTAACAAACAAGGTGTTGTTTACAAACACCACTTCGTTTCTCCTCATCTAAACAATGTTCAAAATGCACGTAATCAGGAGCTATTCAATCTGAAAGTTTCATGGCTGCGCCTAGTTGGTCGGAGATTGTTTAGATTCTCAGTGTTGAATGTTAATGGCCCATATTTGTGAATGAGCGATAACCGAGGCACCCTCACCAGACCTGTTACACGTTTAAACACAATATAAAGAACGCCGGATTTGAATTTGCCGTCATTTCTTTTTGTACGCATGGTATACTGTTTACTTGATGATCATGTTCAGACCACGCGATTAGACGTCATCGAGCAGTATTCAAACGAGCAACGTTTAATTATTGTGAAAACTCACTACAAAAATGGAGATAATTACGCGGAAACAGTTCGCAAATTACGTACAATTCTCGGTCTCAATAATGCGCCAAATGAGTCGACAGTTCGCCGTTTAATTGAACCTTACCAGACCCACTCTGCAACGAATTTTGACTCGTTCTTCCTTCCCTTTTTTCCTTAAAATTGTCTGGTTTCTGGGTTACCAGACCTGACAGACTTACAAACTGACACTGTGACTCAAGAGCTAAGGTCCCACGGACCGCTGTGACAGCCAACGATGACTTGACGAATTTTGACAAAAAAACTATGGTTGCATGCGTACAAGGTTGCGCAGCCCCGACTGGGCGCTGGAGCACCACCAAATTGATGTGGACTTCTCTAAGAAAATCATTTTTTCTGATCAGGCACATTTTCAACTGAGCGGGTACGCCGATAAGTAGTACTGCCGAATTTGTGGTTCTGAAAACTCTTGCGTGATAATCGAACAATCAATGCATCCGCCGCGAGTTCCCGTTTGCTGCGCATTGTGGAGTGACGGAGTGATTGGACCGTATTTCTTCGCAAATGCAGCTGTAACTGCGGTAACTATTAATGGTGCACGGTATCGCGAAATGTTAACCACGATTTTGTAGCATCAGTTGGATCGAATTGACGTGAAGGATATGTTCTTCTAACAAGACGGTGCTTTTCCAGACCGTGTCATCTCTCGGTTTGGCGATCAAAATTGGCCTACAAGATCGTGCGATCTAACGCCAATATACCCCTTCCTCAGGGGTAATGTGAAGGAAAAGGTGTATGCGAACTAGAGACAAACAGTTGAACGTCTTAAAGAAGAGATACGGCGCGTTATCGACGAGATAGAGCAGAGTTCCCCAAACCTTTTTGTGTCGTAGACCCCTTGCCATGTTTTTCCGTGTTGGGTAGACTCCCTACTTTCTTGATATTGATTTTCTGTAAATTTCTAACTGTAGTGAAGTTTAGTGTTAAAAACACATGTTAATTTATACATTTATTAATTGAATTTAAATTAAAACTACTCAAAATAAAATTTTGTATCTGTTATGTAAAATATACGTAACATTAAATAAACAGGTGTCTGACCAATAAGTGCCCGCATTGGGAATAAGTGCCCGCATTGAAAAAAAATAAGAGGGATAAAATAAAAAAAATGTGAAAAATAATAAAAAAAAGTTTATTATTATTCCATAATACGGGATAAGTAACGGGTATGTTGTTTTGCAGCCTAGAATGTCCGTTTTTAAACTGAACCTTAAGTTCTTCATTTGTACTTAGTTCAGTCAGTTCCTCTTGTATTATGACATTCGTTTCTTCTATGTCACCATATGGATTAATCATCCACGGTGGTATTACCATAGTCAAAATATCCTCAAACCTAGATTCAAAATCTGAATAGAGGGCATTTAAATGTTGAACGTTTGAAACGTCGTTTTCCTGGCAGCTTGTCTGTGACAAATTCGGGAACTGAGAAAATTCGCCCCGTCCAATATTTTGCTTCATTAGTTTAACTCTGGCAAGAAACGCTGATAAGATGGACTTTGTTTTAATCAAATTTAAACTCTTCATTAAATTTTCTTTTAAAATTTTACCTTTAGTATCCAGAAATTCTAAAATAGTCTCAAAAAGTGCAAAAAATCTTGTCAAACATAAGCCTTTCGACAGCCAGCGTACTTCAGTGTGAAGGAGTAATTGATGAAAGTGTTCGTCATTTTCTTCACACAACTGCGCAAATAACCGCGTATTCAACGCGTTGCTTCGGATTCGGTTTACTGCATCAATGACTAAATGAAGTGATTCATGCAATCTAACACATTTTATTTTAAATAGCCTAAAAATCCACGATAACGTCCAACCATGGCAAGTGCTCCATCTGTATCTACTGATATTATATTTGATAAAGGAATTGCTTTTTCAATGAAGTAATCCTTCAAAACATGAAATATTGATTCACCTTTAGTGTCGGTTATCAAAGTTCTTGCGAAGAGCAGTTTTTCGTAGGTTTCTTGATTCATAATAAAACGAACATATGCCAATAATAATGCTGCATTATCAGGTAAAGTTGACTCGTCCAGTTGTATAGAGAAATGGGTCGTTTGCAAATAATTACATAAGAAGCTTTCAATATCAGAACCAATTTCATCAATACGACTTTCAACAGTATTGTTGCTTAAGGGAATTCTTTTAATGATATCAGATGCAGGTTTGTGTAAAACAGTTTTTAAAACCTCTTCAACGGCTGGCAAAATTAACTCCGATAGTATGCGGTTTTCCGGATTTTGCTATAAGTAACAAGATATTGAAAGACGCCCGCAAACCATCATCACTTCTCTGTGACGTCGAAGCGAACATTCTGTCCAGGGTAGGTCTCTTTTGAAATTAATCTTTGAGTGTTTGAAAGTATTTAAAATCTTTCTCTGCTTTATCAGGGTGGCATCTTCTCAGATGATCTTGCAGTTTAGATGGTTTGATAGCGTCATTGCCCAAAACTTTGTTGCATAAAAGGCACATAGGCGATTGTTTGTCCGGCAATGATGGAATGAAGCCAAATTTCAAATAATCAGCACTGTACTGTCTACATTTCTTTTTAGATTCGGACAGGGCATCAGTCATCTGTGGGCAAAATGAAGTTATTTAAATAAGACAGAAAATCCAGCAGCTGTATATTAAAAATATTTTTTGATTTTTCCGAAAACATTCCATAATTCGAACATCTTCTTGCAACAATTAGCTCGAATTACGGAGATTGCACTGTTATTATATTACCGATTGCTAAAACTTTCAAAAAGAAACTATTGAGGAGTACTCGTGTAATTTTGGATGATTGAATATTTAACTACTAATAACTAAAGTCATGATTGGCGTAATTTATCCATCTTTGCTAACTACGAGTACAAAACTAAAATTTAATAAAAAATAATGTACTTACTTTTCTCCAGCACTCTCAAACAAAATAACACTGACTCACTAGAATTTGTGTGATATACTATCTGTTTATATTTTTTTAAATATTTTCTTAGCACTTTCCTTTTCAAGATTCAGGAAACAAATAAACGTAGTTGTCCCACATTCGTATTTATAGAGTGACGAATTGAACAAGTCAGTGCAAGGTAGCGAAGCTCTGAGACTGCGACTCTCAGGTTTTTACGTTTTATACGTTTTAAGTTCAAAATGTATTGCGACCGCAAAGCGAGTACCAACATCCTACAACTTACACAATTTTATAAACATATATTTTTACTTCACAGGTACTTTTATAAATAATGTATATGTTATGATATTATAAGATAGTATGCTGTAAGTAAATAGGTACTATCAGTGTATGTGTTGAGATCCACTATCGTGGACCCCCTTATTCATTTCATGGATCCCCAAATTCTTTTTCGCTGACGTAGACCCCTTGCGGGTTGTCATAGACCCCTAGGGGTCGATATAGACCACTTTGGGAATCAATGAAATAGAGCCACAGCTGTGTGAAAACGGGATCCGTAATTTTGAGAAAAGGCTGACCCTGTGCCAGAGGTTTCCTGGTGGCCATCCACCGGATGTCCTATTTCATGTTTAATCGCAACTATTCCTCTTCAGATAATGAGTTGCTACCGTTCACCTAATGGTGACGTAGGCGTATTTTTAGAAAAAATTGAGGAAATTTTAAATACTGTTTTCGATCCTAATTGTTTATTGCTTGTATGTGGCAATTTTAATTTTAATTGTTATGAGTCAAAATGAATAAATTTTTTGAAATTGTGTTATATTTTCTCTATGTTTGGTTTGTATCATAAAGGCGGTTGGCCAACCCGAGTGACAGATACTTCGACCACAAGCATTGACCACGTTTTTACCAATTTTACTCAGCTCGTTTCCGGTGTCTATGATAATAAGGTGTCAGATCACAGAACGACTCTGGGGGACTTCGATGATTGCTCCAAGAAATCGGACAAAATTTACCTGAACAAAAGAAGTTTTCATCAAAACACAATCAGCGACTGTAAAGAATCTTTATTAAACGAATCTTGGCTATCAGTTTACTCTAGCTTTACAGTTTCTGAGTCGTTTGGAAATTTTTTTAATATTTTTTTGTACTATTTTAATAATCATTTTCCTTTACATAAAGCCTGTACGGGAAACGGCTCAAAAAGTTGGGTTACACATAACGTAAGAAATTCAAACAATAATTTGAAAGATTTATATCACAAATAAATCCAGGACTAAAGTCACTGTATAATGATGCTAAAAAGGCACATCAAAAATTGATCAGAGACACAAAAAGATCATTCTACCAAAACAAAATTGTATTGTCTAAAAATATCGCCAAAGCGTGCTGGTAAGTGGTTAATGCAACTAAAAATGAGAACAAAGTTCGAAAAAATATATTTCTACACAAAGATCAAAATGAAAAAGTGTACGACCCTCAGCTGTTGGCAAATATGTTCAATGTTTTTTAAAAAAATGCTCCTGATGATGTAATACAAAAAAATAATACCTCAGATAGTGCACCTGATTTCAAATTTATTGTCAAAAATTATTTCAAACTTTACCCTTATACAGATAATGAGCTCAGTAAGTTACCTTTGAAAAAATTAAAAAATTCCAAATCTTGCGGTTTTGATGACATTCCCAATTTTCCGGTAAAAGAAGTACTACTTCTTATAATAAAATCAATAACACACCTTATAAATATCTTATTTGAAACTAAGCAAAGTTATACCAATTCTAAAAAACGGGAACGAGCTTGATATTACAAACTACAGGGCAGTCACTGTGCCGTCTGTACTTTCTAAAGTGTTTGAATAGGCCTTTTTGGATAAACTTCTTCTACATCTTGAGAGCAACAATATTTCGTCTCAAAACCAACATGGTTTCACAGATGGTAAGGCCAGAATGTCAGCCATACATTCCTTTTATGAGAAGCTTATAGAATACATCGGCGCGGGCGAGTGCCCCACTGGGGTATTTTGTGATCTCAGTAGGGCATTCGACTGCGTTGATCACAACAAATTCTTGGAGATTGTTGTTAAATATGGTCTTGTCGGTCAGTCTCTTAAATCGGCCAGATAATTTTTAGTCCAAAGAAAACAATATGTTTCAGTACAATACCTTGATGCAGGGAACAATATGAAAAACTTTGTGTCAAGTACGTTAGACATCTCGATTGGAGTCCCACAGGGCTCTATCCCTGGACCAAACTTTTTCCTCTTATACATTAATCAGTTTGATAATACCCATTTTACAGAATATGCTGATGACGTTTCTGCCATAATATCAAGTAACTCAAATATAATTTTGGAAAATAAATGTAACAACTTAATTAGGAATATCAGTACATGGTTTAACCAGTACTCACTTTACTTGAATACTTCCAGAACAACGCTTATTCGTTTTCATCATGCTCAAAAAACTGTAGAAAAGTTTCAAGTTAGATTGGGTGACGATCAACTCGATTTTAAAGGAGAGGTGAAATTTCTTGGAGTTCATTTTGATTCGAACTTAAACTGGAAGGCCGACTGCGAATTTCTCACATCAAAAATATACTCTCAAAGCTATGTGTTGAGGCAATTAAAAACCATCTTAACAGCTGAACAATTGATACAAGTTTATTTGGCCAATGTGGATTCGAGACTAAGATATGGAGTATGTTTCTGGGGTTGGTCAACGCGCTCTGAAGATGTATTTGTGTCTCAAAAATATTTTATAAGTTTCAACATTTTAGCTACCCCTTCGTTGTATATATATGAACTGTGCTTACATGTTTTTAAAAATAATGAAAAATTCAAGCGGAATTGTGATATGCATAATTATGGTACAAGGACTTGTAATAATTTATATGTAAACTTCAGCAATTCAAAAGCGGCATTTCGATCACCTAATAAAATTGGTCTGCTTCTTTTTAATGATTTACCATGCCACATTAAATCGGTTAAAAATATTGACGACTTCAAGTTCCAGTTGAAGAAATTTTTGATAAACAAGTGCTTTTATCGTGTTGATGAATTTTTGAACATTGCAATTTGACATTAGTTGTAGGTTTGTACCGAACGAAAAATTGACAATTCCAATACAATTATATATTGTCTGTATGGAAATAAAGGTTTCTGATTTATTGATTGATTCATGTTGAAATATAAATACTCGCTTAATTCCGAAAGAAATTGAGTTTTATCTTGAAAATCAATTCCGGAGCTCTTACTAAGACACCCTTTATAAATAAGTTACATTATGACTTATTCTTTGGCAAAATTTTGTTAAAATGAAAGTTTTTTGGTTTTAGAAATATACAGCAAGCCATTATTTATCAAAAATCGACACTCGTCCGGTTAAATTGTTACCATTCCTACAAATATCAATTATTTTATGCCGAGGTTGTTTCAAAATATTCGTAATTGATTGTTTTATCGAAACTAGTGCTGATTTATTCTTGTGTTTATGCGAAATTCACACTAAAATGCTATCCTATACTGCAAACTTCCATCCTATGGCTTCCCTTAGAAGCTTTGCAGTTGAGTGGTTAACATCCTATCTGGCCGCAAGGTATCCGTCGTAGATGATGAGTTCTCCTCTTCGTCCCACAAAATCAACGCGGGTGTTCCTCAGGGATCGGTCCTGGCTTCTTACATATCAACGGTCTTCTTGTACAAATACACTTCTTTTCTGATGACAGCACTTTACAAGCAGGAATTCGGAGTGGTAAGTCTATCTCTGATAGTGAGCTGTAGAAAATAAGACTTGCTTGAGGACGCAACAAACTAGTCTAATCTAATCCTTCCAAAACACAGTATCGTTACCTTGACTGGCAAGAAGCGCTCTAGCGCTCATCCGTTTCTCCCGTCAATAGCGGCAGCTGCTGGGAAAAAGCTTGACTATTCATGTGCGGCTGAGATGTCACCTCCTCACTGAGTATGAGGTCTACATAAGACCTAGCCACTTGTACTGCTCACATGTCTGGAGTGCTTGATCCCTAGGGTGGCCACATTGTGGAATAATCTACCTAAGGAGGCTTCTTCCAGTTTGTTTAGGAGCTTTATGGCATTGCAATGGTACTGTTTCCCAGAAATGTTTTGCTCTATTTCTCGTTTATGAGATGTTCAAGTTCGCCAAGTTTCTGGAATACTAATTACTTATATGATGCGCATTTGCGCATTGACTCTGTGATAATATTTTTTTATTATATACAGATTGATCACCATTAGCCGTTAGACGTGCCAAATATCTCTTAATATCTTTGCGTGGGTTCCTCTGATTAAAAGTTGCCTATCATTTTTTACCACGACAGTATATTATAGAAACCCCTTCTGTTTGATACACAACGTCTTTCAAGCAATCAAAAATAAAGATCGTAGTTCCCAAAACTCACGCTTTCAGCGATGAAAAAGAAGAAAACTTGCATTAACTGATATCGTTAAGGAATACGTTACTTGATTTGTCAAGGAGATGGATATTAAACCTTTTATGAAAGAAGTGAACAATATGAAAACGCGACTGAAAAATAAAACTGACAAAAATAAAACAGGGAACAAGCCCAATCGTCGTTTGTCCTGGGAGAAAGTTATGTTAAAGGCTATGGATGCAGACATAAATCCTGTACTAAGTCGGGTATCAGGTGAGAAATAGATTCAGGTCTTAAACTATTACCTTGTAGGTACTTATCATGCTTGTATATTTTTATTAGGGGCTCTTGCAATTGACGTGGCAAGTCGACCTTCTTTACCTACGTTATGGTGGACAACGACGCTCATCAGATGATTATGCCTCAAGTAGTAGCTAACAAAAAGCGATCCTACACATCGGTTGAAGATGTTGCTGCAAAACAAAATGCCTCCGAAGCCTACCTTTGCTTCGGGCAATCAAGAGTCTGACGAGACGAGGCAGTTAACGACAACCCAGCTTCAACGATTAGTTTTAGTTGAACAACTGAAAGTTGCTCGTCTCAAACAACAATATTACTCTGCCAAGCTAAACAATTTAAACGAGGCATCAAACGAAAAAGCCCTGCAAGAGTACGTTGTTGTTGGAGATGATATTTACCAAAACTTGTAAATAGACATATATGTAATATGTATCATTTATAACAAAAAAAATAATTAAACGTTTTTTTCCAGTTCAAACATGTAAGTTTATTTTTAGTTTAAGTAAATACATTTTTGTACGTTTGAAGTAAACGACATATACATAGCATTACATGAAAGTTTTAATCCTAATTATACACCTATATTGTTAATGGCAATAAGACGAGCTAATTCCTCCCGCCGCCTTTGTCCTTGTGCGCGAATAGCATCTACATTTTCATTCTCTATAAATGGCAAGTCCTGTTCTTCATCTTCGTCATTTTATTGAAAATCTTTATATCTTAATTGCTTAGCTGTATTGTGCAACACAGTACACGCAATTATAACTTTTAGAATACTGGTCAGTTTTACTCTGCATCCATACTTGAGGATAGGAAATCGCCGCTTTAGTTGCCCAAATGTATGCTCAATCACAACTCACTCTGATGTAAGCAGCCTATTAAAGACTCTCTGATATTCCTCGTGGGGGTCGGTGTAAGGAGTCATAAGACATGAAATTATACCATATCCACTGTCCCCTAAGAGATTAGTGTTTCTTGTCTTTTTCATGACTTCACACACTGCCGAATTTTTCCATATACGAGCATCATGGACAGATCCAGGCCAACTTGCATCTATACTAGTTATAACAGAATTCTGGTCGCATGTAACCTGCACATTAATACTGGCAAAACCTTTTCGATTTACATATTCGTCTCCAACTTGGGTTGGTTTTCCATCAAGACGAATATGCGTGCAGTCGATAACTCCAATAGCTGTGGGAAAACAGAACCTGGTCAACCATTTCTCTTTGGCCTGCATAATTTGATTTTCTGTATTTGGGAACCTGATAAATTCTTCGGCTTGTTGTACAATTCGTTCTAGCACGTCATGAAATATTCTGGACACTGTGGGCTGCGAACATCCCAATTCTTCAGCTATTCCGCTCTGAAATCCATGGTTCGCACAATACCGCAGAAATATTTTCATTTTCTGCACAGGTGACTGGGCTCCACGAGTTTCGAAATCCATGCCAAGAAAGTAATTTGCCAACCACACCACATTTTCCTCCTCAAATCTAAACAGCGTCTTGAAATCTGACTCACGAGGTGTACGTCTTGGTTTGTAGTATTTTCTTGTACGTAAATGCACCACATTAGCCATAACTAACACAATACTGCGGCTAATCAACCAAAGATCACTTAAACAAGCCCTTACAAATAGATTTTATTCAACGAAAATGCACAAATTTTAAGATGCAGGCTCTAAGACGCGGGGACAACTAATGATAAAATGAGAAAAGTTGCTGTAAGTTCTTTAGTTTTTAAGCAAATGCTTCTTTTTATTAATAAGAAAACGTTAACACCTGTTACTTTACAGAAGCGAGACCTTCTCCTTCACTTCTTTTTATTCATATACTTTGAAGGAATTGCTTTATTTTTTGAAAGCAAAAGGTAAAACTTTTTTTTATAAATATGGACTACTACCTCGTCTTTATTTATAAAATTGACAAATAATGAGTCTGCAGCTTCTATGAACGCCTGTTTTATCATTACCCATCTTGATAAGGTTTCTTCTTTTATGCAACGATCTGGGACACCCGGTATGATGCTTCAGTTGCAGCCTTACTTTTGTCGATTGATTTTAAAAACATTGGCTGTTGTCCAATTAACTGATTTTTTAATTTTATCAGTTTTATCGTTCTGATTGCAGAACGTAATGGTAATGATTTTCAAAATTCGAATGTACAGTTGTACAGTGCTTCTCGATATTCCTTTTTTTAGCTACGGAAACAGATATATTACATAACAAACATACATTATTACCTTTAACTGTAAGGAAAAATTGTTCTGCCCGTACCGAATGTAAATGGTATGTCTTCATCTCCTTACCACTGCTCATAATGTTTTTAATTGCAGGCCAACTCTAACCCAACCGCTGGACTTTGTACCGTTCAGTTTTAAACTGAGCGCGTTGCGTATTTATTCCGTTCAAAGTAATCGAGATCGTTCTCGAACAGATCGCTCACCACAGTGTTGCCGCTGCCTGTGTTTATTCTGAGAATTTACAAATTTTACGGAAGCTTCTATGACTTTTACACATTTTTAAAATATGTTGTGAGCTACCAGAATTGCCTTTGTGAGCCACTGGTAGCTCGCGATAGACGGGTTAGTGGTATATAACTTGAGAAAAAAAATCATAATTATTATACAATAAGTACTTCTTTATTACGATTTAATTTATGGCCTCAGTGCAGTAAATAAACCACATTACACTTTTGATCAGACTTTGATTGAGGTACTGCAGGTTGCTGAGATTTCGACACTCTAAATAGCCATTTCGTCAGGAAGTTAATTCTAAATTTAGAATTATTTTCAGTGACCCAATAGAAACATGTACGTTATACAAATAAATTAGATTGTATCAAATGGTTCATCATATTTTAACCCTAGAACCACAACGTGGCGTCGTGGATGACCGGTTTAAAATATTTCAGTTGTTTGCGCCCGGACTAATTGCAGCCGAAGATCATGCGCCTCAGTATCTTCCTTATTTGATGTACGGAGCATGTGGAGGAGTGTAGAAGTTTTCTATCGTGACTGAAAGCTTTGATATCGAGTGTACGGTCGTCTGCGACGCCACGTTGCTGTTAACGTTACGATAATTATTAGCTCTAGGGTCGCATACGACGCCACGTTGTTATTAACGTTAAGATAAATATTTTCTTATGGTATGTGTTTTCATTCAGTTTTTAGGACAATATATTAAAATGTTATATTTTAGATAAAGTCTAAATGGCTGACAGAACGCGTCCGTTAAGCCAGGCTGAACTGGAAAGTCTGGTAAATGAGATCTGCAATGAAACGGATGAAGAAATAGTATCAGACAGTGAAGAGAGTGAGATCGAAGATTATGAAGAAACTGATGTTATGGAAACTGATGAATTTGATGCCGACCAACCGAGCTCAAGTAATGATAAGGATGCACCTCGAATAAACGAAGGTGGAAAATCAGTGGATCACGAAGCGAATGATGTTATTGAAACTGATGATTTTGGTGTTGACCGACCGGGCTCAAGTCATGATATGGATGTACCTTCGACAAATGTACATCGAAAAACAGTGATGTATGCAAAAAATGGACATAAATGGTATCTACAAAGTTTTTATTCAAAAAACACAAGGACAAGTCAGAAAAATATAGTTCTTCATATGCCTGGTCCACAGCGGCATTTGCAAAATATCACGGATGCCAAGAAAATTTGGGATTCATTTTTTACTGAAGAAATTTTGAAAATTATTGTTGAACATACAAACGAACAAATTGAAATTAATAGGAGCCGCTTCAAAACTGAACAACGCTACATTGGTCCTACTAGCATTACTGAAATTCAGGCATTACTGGGACTCTTATATTTATCAGGGGTTTTGAAGAAAGCTCACCTTACACTAAGAAAGATATGGTCAGTTGAATTTGGACCGGCACTTTTTAGAGCGACAATGTCTAAAAACAAATTCGAATTTTTGATAAATTGTCTAAGATTTGATAACAAGTTAACTCGGGAACAAAGAAGAGCAAACGATAAATTTGCGGCCATTCGGCAAATTTGGGATATATTTGAAGGACGTTGTAGAGAGAACTATATTCCTTCGGAATAAGTTACAATAGATGAAACACTATTAGGATTTAGAGGTACATGTCCCTTTAAAATGTATATACCAAGTAAGCCTGACAAGTATGGCTTAAAAATTGTAACGATGTGTGATGCTAAAACGTTTTATATGTGTTCAGCTAAACCCTATATAGGAAAAGAAAATAGAGATGGTCCATATTCTGTTCCTACACAATATGTCTTAAATTTAACTGAAAACATATAAGGTACAAACCGCAATTGTACCATGGATAATTGGTTTTGTTCTTATGAAGTAGCGAAAGTTTAGCTTGAAAAAAAACTGACAGTTCTCGGAACATTACGCAAGAATACGAAAGAAATCCCAAAGCAGCTATTGGAAACTAAGGAAAAAAATGTAAATTCGTCCATGTTTGTGTTTGATGAAAAAACTACAATGGTTTCATACATACCGAAAAAAAATAAAACAGTAATTTTGCTGTCAACGATGCACACGTAAGGCGACGTAGAGGAGCAAACTAAAGGTAAGTACTCACTTGGAGACCACGTTGCGCGATTTTCTTTAGGTGGTCTAGAGACCGTCTAGACTTGAGACATAGACATGGTGTAGAGACACCGATCTTTGCCTCGTCTAGCGTCCACACTGTGATGTGAATTTTTCTAGTCTCATCTTCGCCAACCACCATGGCGGACCTTGCTTTGTGCGCAATGAGTGCCTTTTTAGTAATACTTTCTAGTAAAAAAGCGCGAAAACGTAAAAAACAGCAGATACCGCATGCACTTGTTTACAAAGCGAGAGAGGGACTGGGAAATGTCTCGTCTATAGACGCGAGGTACTCACTATCACCTTGTTGCGCACCGTATCCCAACGTTGCATCAAGTCTCCCATTTCAATCGGGAGACTTGAGACCTGCGATTTTTAGTTTCGCAACCGCCCCGTAGACCGGATTTGGTTTATAGACATGTCTACCGAGACATACTGAGACAACTTTAGACATGTCTCTGAGACCAAAAGCGCGAGACATGACTACTAGTGAGTACTAGGCTTAAGAAGCCACAAATGATTCTTGCATACAACAGTACCAAGGGAAGTGTAGATACATTTGATCAGCTATGCCATAATTCGACGGTATCTAGAAAAACACGGAGATGGCCCCTTAGAATTTTCTGTGGAATGGTTGATATTGCACGCGTCAACTGTTTTGTTATATTTAGATGGAATCTTTCTGTTCAAAACGAAACGTCGGTAAAACGCTCAACTTTTCTGAAAAATCTAGCATTTACTCTAGTACAACCATATCTAAAAGAGAGAATGTATAATGTTTATCTACAAAGAGAACTAAAAAGTACCATAAGGAATATTTTAAAATGCGATGAGCAAGAAGTCAAGCCCAGCATGGCTCCCAACGTTGAAGTCACTGGTCGTTGCGATTTTTGCCCTCGAAAGAAAAACCAAAAATCTCGAAGCATTTGTGAGCAATGTAAAAAACAAATTTGTGCGGAACATCGCCTGACCCGTATTTTTTGCCCTAACTGTAAAGAAATATCTTAGACTAATTTATGTACCCATTATATATCGTTACTTTTATTTTTTATTAATCATGTGTTTTTGTTAAATAAGTGATATTACACTATGTATTTGTTCTTAATTTGACAATAAACTAAATATATCAATTATCTATTTAGTTATTATTCCCTAAATTTGTAGAACAAAAAGCTATACATTTTTTATTACAGTGTCGCATTTGACGCCACGTTGTTATTTACGTATTGAAAGAAAACGTTGAGGTTCTAGGGTTAACAGTTAGTCTATGGAAACTACCCATATACGACACCTCTTTCAGGAACAAAAAGATATAGCAGCAACACTAACTTATGAGACGTCGAGCGGCAGGTGAATGTCACCGTATACAACCCTGTGGTCAGATCGGACGGCTCAGTCAGAGGGAAAATTAAAAAAAGGGCCGATGGCGATGTGACGTGGGATAGGTCGCAGCACAGAACACAGCAGATATGAGATATTCAAAGGGCATTCACCTTGATCTAGCGTGAGCCAGTGTATCGGAGCTGTCCGAGTTAGAACATGGAAACGTGAATCCACTTACGTTGACATCGCTTTTGACACGTATTGTTAAAATGATAACGATGCCATTAAGCAGTATCTCAAGGATGAAAAAGGTAAACGTTCCAGGAAGATAAAATGATAATGATAATAATAGTAATCATAGTAATATCCATTAGCGGATATCGACAGATTGTACATCAGCAGAAAAAAAGGAAAAAGAGCAATGATGAATTTAGCATCGCTATTGCTTTG